TAAGACTTTGTCCTGCCGGCTTCAAATTGATAAGAGAATCTCTTCGTAATTAAAATTAGACGTCAAATAAAATAAATTATATAAAATGAGTAATTAATATTTTATTAATTAAAATATTACCTATATATACAGGGTATCCCATCTTAACTTTCGGATTAAAATTTCTTAAAAACCAAGTCTTCTGTCGAAAAATGTTTCATACAAAAGTTTTGTCGTAAACAGCCTTATTCCTTGTGGAGGAATTTTCAACATCATTACTTTTTTAAACGGAACTACTATAACTTTTTTACATAAATCGATTCCTCGTAATATTTGGTATAAAAAGCTGTTAGAATTAAATATAATCAAAAAAATGAATGGTTTACAAGATATACTTCCTAACATATTTTGACAAAAAATATTAAATATATATATATATATATATATATATATATATATTATATAATATATATAATATATATTTTGTAATATATTCATTTTTCAATAATTTTATCTTAATAATTTTCTGCGCAGAGATAAATGAATTGATGTTAGGAAAAACATAGTTATTAATTTCTTTTAAAAGTATGCAGTTGCATATTGCAAATTGTAATTTCTTATTAATCACAAAATTATATTTTTCTCATTAATTATGTGTATGCGTGTGTCGCAAATGAAAGTTTTCAAACATGTGCTCGTGAAAATTCGATAGCAATTCGTCGGATGTATAATGAGCGAATTACGCACAATGTGCGGGTATTGTTCGCGCGAGAAGCGTGTGAGCGATTAGAGGGACGATCTTTGCACTCACGTGGAAGAATGGCGCGTCGGTACGGGCGTCGAAAAACGGGAATCCCGGCAGCGGAACGGACTAACGGCAACGAGGCAACGGGAAACGATACGATGAGCCTCGTCTTGCGAGCCCGTCTACGTATGTGTGTGTGCGCTTCCCCGACTTCCCGTCTAACGTCGCCAATTTTTCGTCGACCTATTTCGAGATCGTCGGCGCAATTCGCTCGTGTGGCCGCGCGTCGAATCTCGGATCCGTTCGTTTCAGCCTGACCGATCTATTGTAGTTTTCAGCATTTTAAAACGGAATAGGTGTATATAAAAGAAGTGGAAGAAAATGAAACGGGGAGGGAGCAGAGAGAGGGGGCGAGAGGGAGGGAGGGAAAAAAAGATGAAAAAAAGGCAAACCGCAAGAAATGCAATGCTAAAACGAATCAGTATATGTAGCAAATAAAAAATATAAAATAAATTTTATACATGTAAAACGAATGATAATGAATAATGATGAAATAAGATAATCATAAATAATAATGCGCAATTATTATTTGTGATTATATAATCGATAAATAAATGATAAATATTATTACATAATTGCATATAATAATTATAATAAATGCATGAATATATATATAAAATATAAGTGTGAAATTAACAAAAAGAGAGAAATCTAAAGTTACAAAGTACAGTTATTGATTACATTTGCAAGTGAAGAAAGAGACGAAAAGAAAACTCGATTAAAAATTTTCATTAATTAAAATGTTATGGATTAATTTTCATATTTTTCTCTTTTTTCTCTCTTTCTCTCTCTTTTGACAAAGTGTTATCGCGGGACCGATAGTCGCAGAAATTATTCGTCAGCATGAGTTCGTCATCATCGGGAGTAATTTGTAACGCGAGATGATGAGTCAGTCATTTGGTAATTATGATAGTCGCGTATGCTAAGCGAGAAGAAAGTAATCGCATGTAGCTCGCGCGATTAGGCTAAAAATATATTAGTCTATGCCAAATCCTATCGAAGTAGGACATTTGACACGGAAAAATTTAAAAGCTTTTGTTAGAGATCTCATTTTATTACATTATATAATTTATATATATTTATATATATAATAATTTGACATATATTCACACATATATATTTTTTAATATATTTATTATTAATAGCTTTATACATATATATATATATATATATATATATATATATATATATATTCCTTATATTCTTTTAACAGAAATTTTTAAAAATTATATTCGATATAATAATTATACAGCGATATTTCTACATCTTATTTTAATAAATTAATATTTTCGTCGAGAAAAACTTCTTGAAATTAAAATAACTTATATTAAACGGTTTTTATAAAACTCTCTGCGTCACAACTCATTTGTAATGCACTCCAAGTTGCACAGTGCAAATTAGTCATAAAGGCTCTCATTGTTATAATGTTCCCATGTTTGTAGTTTAGAATACTTCAAGTATTTAGAAAATTATACTAGTGCATTTCTCTAAATGAAACATTCAACCCTTTCATTTTGAAGAAAATGCTCGTATATTATACATAATATTTTTTAGACTAGACCATTCTTGCTAATGATATTTTGATTCATGAATTTTAGAACACCCTGTATATAAAAACATCTCAAAATATAATTATATATATATATATATATATATATATATATATACAGTGTTTGGTCTTATCTAAATAAAATTATATAGATGATCATCTAGATGAAATTTTGACGTCATTTTTTCTTTATATAGATAATAAAAATATGTTTATTATCTATATATCTGCATTTTAGATAAAAAGTGTTGTTAATTTTTACTCAATTTCTAGAATAAAGTTCAGATAATTTGATTTAAAGTCACAGCAGATAAAAATATGTAAATAGTAGAAGCTTAAACAATAACTGTGTTTACATAAGCAATCTTAAAAATAATATTATCTGAAAAGTATCTGATGACTCGTCATCTCAGGTTGTGCTTAGATAATTTTAAAATTAGCTAGATAAATATGAGATAAAAATTTGTAAATTTATCTTAGATAAGATGAAGATAATTTTGTTTTAAATATATCTAGATAAAAGATAAAATATAGCGATTCACATCTAAACAACCAGATAATAATCAAATAAATTCCAGATAATATATTATTTTTAAGGGAACGCTGACTAGATCTATTTTATTGACAAATATTATTTTTATTCAATTTTTTATTGGTTATACAGTATACAGAATGAAAAATTCATTACTAGAATTGAAGTATTCATAATAACAAATCTGGGCTACTACATATGTATATAAAAAAGAAATAAGAAAGCTAAATAATTACAGTTTTTTGTCGATCTTTTGCATCATTGGGTCAACTTAACTTAAACGATAAGAAAACTGTAATTATTTAACTTTCTTGGTTTCTTTTTATATACACATATAGTAGCCATATAGTAGATTTGTTATTCATATGAATACTTTAATTCTAGTAAAGGATTTTTCATTCTGTATATAATCAATAAAAAATTAAATAAAAATAATATTTGTTGATAAAACAGACACAGTTAGCATGTAAACAGTTATAAAAAACGTAAATTAATGGGTATAAAAATATATTTATACCTTTATTTTCAGGCTCCTTCACGTCACTTAACAACACTCTAAATCCATTCGCATTCCCAACGAAATTATATGGCAATCCCCAAAAAAATTATATGGCGATTCATCTAGATAATTTTCTAGATAATTATTTTTAAGACTGCTTATGTAAACATAGTTATTAAAAAAATGTTAATTATAGAAGAGATATAAAAATATATGTATGTATTCATATTTTTATTTATAAATTTTTATCGCTTCGCTTAAATTCTACTATTTAAGTATATTTTTATGTGCTATGATTCTAAATCAAAATTATCTGAAAATTATTCTATAGATAATTTAGTAAAGATAATACTTTTTTTCATCTAAGATGCAGATATAGATAATACATATTTTTATTATCTATATAAAGATAAGATGACGCCAAAAGTTTTATCTAGATAATCATCTATATAATTTTATTTAGATAACAGCAAACACTGATCGTCATACATAATTTTTTATCCTTTATCTTTCTCTAAATATATTTAAAACAAAATTATATTCATCTTATCTAAGATGATAATTTACGTATTTATTTCATCTCATCTTTATCTAGCTAATTTTAAAATCATATCTAAGCATAACACTGTACATATACAGGATGTCCCATTTTAACTTGGACACTCAAATATTTCGAAAAATGTGAAAGATAAAACTTTTCAAACAAAAATTGTTTGGTTTGAAGGGAGATATAAGGTGGTATCATTGATTTAACTTTGAAAGGTCATTTAAAGGTCACTTTCAATTTCTTTATTATGAATCCCCACTTTTTCTTGCATATTCTAGTAGCTTATCTCAAGAGCTTTCGAAAACATTTTAATAAAGTATATTTTAAGTACTTTTTGAGTTATAAAGTTTGAAATTTACCAATTTTTTGACAAAAAACAAATTTGACAATTTTTTATAAAAAAAAATTGTTTTTAAAAAATGTAATTTGCAACATGCAGCTGCGCATATTTTTTTTTTAAGCGACTGTGTTTTCTTTACATCAACTAAATGATCTCGATCATTATTTCGTGCATAAAAGTACCGAAAAGTGATTAAAAGAATAATTACCGAAAACTGAATATTTTACAAGATATTTTTTATATTTTGTCAAAAAATTATCAACTTAAAATCTTATTATAACTCAAAAAATACTCCATGAAAAAATGTAATGTAATAAAAATAGGGGTTTATAATAAAAAAATTTAAAGTGACCTTTGAATGACTATTCAAGGTCAAATCAATGGCATCATCTCATGTCTCCTTTCAAACCAATTAACAACTTTTGTTTGAAACGTTTTTCCGTATCTTTCATTGTTTTCAAGATATATTTAAGTATCTAGTAATAAGTTAAAATAGGACACCCTGTATACATGTGTACATTATATATATGGTTATAAATCTTTGCTGTCGAATATTTCTATTAATTATTGATCGATAACGAGCATATGCAGGTTCGCTTAAAATTCATTTTGTACTATCATAATATGCTTATATGCTACTGTTTACGCCTGGCGTAACCCTAGTGAATATCGAATATGCGAACGACATCGATATATGCAGCCTGCGTACCATACTCTACAACACAAACGAAACGAAATATACGACTCACTCGGTTGCTCCTTACGAGTTAGCAAGGTCGTGGATAGAGTCGCTGTCTGGCAGATAAGATGAGAGTGACACTCGTATCCGGTGGCGAAGGGTGACTCCTCCCTCGCGATCGTTTCCCTCGTTTCTCCAGAGATCGCAGATCTACTCTTTCTACGTACACTTTTCTCTCTCTCTCTCTCACACTTTTTTCTCTTGAAACGAGACATATAATATATACTCGCGTCTCGAAGAGAGAAGAATAGAGAAAATGTTATAGCGTATGAAATTGTCACCTATATAAGCTGAGGCAAAATTATATCTATCTAATCTAATCGTTTTATATATTTATCTAATCTAATCTTTCGCTCGAGAGAAAAATAAAAAAGAAAAGAAAGCGCCGCAAATATAGAAAGTGCAATTGAAAAGTACTGAACTCTCGATTTGTGGTAACTACGACGATTGTGCCATAAATGGTCGGAGTCGATCGGAGTCGGCCAATCAGCTCACGTTTCGTTGAAAATACGTCTTGAAGTCAAAACGAGTATGAAAAAGTGGTACATACGATGCGTCTATAAAATTGATTATTTTATATAATAAAAATGTTTTATATAATAAAATCTCTCTCTCTCTCTCTCTCCTCTCTCTCTCTCTCTCTCTCTCTCTCTCTCTCTCTCTCTCTCTCTCTCTCTCTCCCCCCCCCCTTTCTCAGAGTAATGTAAAACAAATTAAAAAAGATAATTATATAGCATATATTCTACACTGTCAATTATTTTTTTGAAATATATATATTATTTATTTTGAGATTTAATTTTTAAAATTTATCAAAAATATTTCTTGAGAAAAATTTGAGTTTTTGAATAGACTTGTTTTAAGATTTTAAAATTTTTTAAATTTTTGAACAATTTTTTGAAAAATTTCTGAAAAAATTTATTCAAAGATTAATTTTGAAAAATTCTTCAAAAAAACAAGTTAAAAATTTTTTTTGTAGAAAAATTTTTCGAAAAAACTTGTAACAAATTTTTTACAAAATTAAAGTTGTAAAATTTAATTTCTAAAATTTTTTTCAAAAAACAAGTTAAAACTTTTTTAATCTTAGAAAAAAATAATTTTTAAAAAAATTTCTGAAAAAATAAGATTTAATTTAAAAAAAATTTTTTTTCAAAAAGTAAGTTTTGGAAAAATTGTTCTCTAATTATGGAAAAAATAATTTTTCAAAAAAATTTGTAAAGAATTTGAAGTTGTAAAATTTAATTTTTCAAAAAATTAAAAAATTCTTTTTTAATCTAATAAAATATTTTTGAAAAAATTTACAAAAAAAATTTTTTTTAATTTTTTCAAAATTTTTTTAAAACTATCAATGTGATTAAATAAAAGTATGCATTTATCTCTCTTTATATACGTAAAAAATTTCATGAAAATCAAAATAATTCGCTAAGTTTCCTTATTAAGACCGTCGACCGCCATCTAATACACGCGTAATCGATGCTTCATCGTCCTCATACATCCTCCACGTGACGTTCTATCGAAGAAGTCGCTAGCAGCGACGAATAAGATGGCGGCGTCGCGCATGTCAGATCCGCCAGGATTGGACGGGAGTGGAATGGATGAGAGTGGGGGCAGGAAGAGGAGACAGACAGAGACACGACAGGCACACAGAGACGGGCAGATAAGCAGGCGGCCAGGACGGTGTAGAGACAGAGACAGGAGGCTGTATGTCGTACGTGCATACGTAGTGCGATAAAGGAGTGCAAGTGCGTGTCGAGTAGACCCCCGGTGTCGTCATGCCCTGGTGTAGCCGCGTCGTCGTAATAACAATAATATCGTGGCAGCTGACGACTCGCGACGAGGCGGCGCAGGTCGATTCTCGATTCGCGTGATCCGACAGCTTTGGTACCCCCTGACGTCTCCGTAAGGTCGTCGATGCGTCTTTGTTCGCGGCCGGACGGGAGGAGGACGGGCGCGGATTGTCGTTGCGACGACGAGACGAGGAAGAAGGATACGAGGACGAGGACGAGAGAGAAAAGGGAAGTAGCCTGGTAGCCTGGGGTAGGTGAGGTGCGATACTCGATAATCTGTCCGATTTCATTCTCTATCTCTCTCTCTCTTCGTATTCTTTTCTTCGTCTACTCTCCTCTACCTCGGAGTTGAGACCACGCGACCTCCTGGACACCCCGGCGCGGTCCTGGACAGGTCCAGGCGAAGAGGTGGAGCCGCCGCGCCGACAACAACGACGACGACGACGACGACGACGTCGAGGAGATGCGCGAGTTCAAGGTGGTGGTCCTCGGCTCGGGCGGGGTGGGCAAGAGTGCGCTCACCGTCCAATTCGTCTCCGGGTGTTTCATGGAAAAGTACGACCCGACGATCGAGGACTTCTACCGGAAGGAGATCGAGGTCGACAACTCACCATGCGTCCTCGAGATCCTGGACACGGCCGGCACCGAACAGTTTGCGTCGATGCGCGATCTCTACATCAAGAACGGTCAAGGCTTCGTTGTGGTCTACAGCCTGACGAATCACCAGACCTTCCAAGACATAAGGCAATGAAGGAACTCATCACCCGGGTCAAGGGTACGGAACGAGTGCCGGTGCTCCTAGTGGCGAACAAGCTCGATCTTGAACACCAGCGGGAGGTCGGCACCGAGGAGGGCCACCAGCTCGCTCAGCTCTGGGGCTGCCCGTTCGTCGAGGCGAGCGCCAAGAATCGCACGAACGTCAACGAGATGTTCGCTGAGATCGTCCGCGAGATGAACTTCAGCCCCGAGAAGGAGAAGAAGACCTACTGCTGTTGCAGTGTCCTCTAATACTTAATCAAAAGCCCCGATGGTCCCGATTATTTAGCCGTGGACCGAACTAGGTGAAGGAAAATAAATATATAGGTACAGGTGTGTACAGTGTGTTTACCAAGAGGGAAAGGCTTCGTCGTTCTGTTCTCTTCTTAATTTTTCAAGGAGAATTTCTTTCCTCCACTTCTTTTCTTTCTTAAGGATGGAAGCGTTAGGTGGAATACAGTGCTAAAGGAAGTGTGTACAGTGGCAGAAATCTTCTTTATCATCATCATCATCGAGAGGTGATCTTACTTCTGGAAATCTCTTTTTCAACCTTGGGAATGTGCTGCACAGCAGGCCAAGGTTGACTTATGAATTCTCCAACTATGAGGGACTACGGTTCTCTCCTCCGCTTCTCTTCCTTGTTAAGGTGGGATGCAGTGCTAAAGGAAATGTGTACAGTGGCAGGGTTCTTCATCATTTTCATCATCATCTTCATAATCGTCCAGACGTGATCCTACTTCTGGAAATCCCTTCTTCAATCTTGAGAATTGCTGCGCATCTGCCAAGGCTGACTTATGAATTGAACGCTGTATGAATTCTCCAACTGAGGGACTGCAGTTCTCTCCTTTTCTAACTGGGAAGACCGTCCGGCGAGCGACGGCAGCGTTAAACACAGATATTTTAATATACGCGAATTAGTATTATTGTATGTAATATTATTGTATATATACATATATATATATATATATATATATATATAAATAATATAGATTATAGATTTAAGAGAGAGAGAGAGAGCGAGAGAGAGAGCGAGCGAAAGGTAGCTTTTTCTCGACAAAAGGACCAATACTCGCTCGCGCGAGAAGAGAAGTGTCGGAAAAACCGTAAAAAACCAATTCGATATCGGCTTTCGATGCTCAATTTCAGACGAAATCGTTGCGCGTAGGTTTTTCGCGTTCTGGTACATAAATTGAGACTAGGTGCTGCGCTAAAGAAGGAAGAAAAAAAGAAAAAAAGAGGAAATACTCGCGGACGTTGAAGGAATCACTGTGATGGTCGAGTCAAGGAGTTAAGGGGACTAAGTTTGAGAGGGGAAATTTAATCATATATATATCGCATGATTTGCATGCAGTAGTAGTGTGAAGGTTTACGCAATCCATCTGATTGAAAATGGGGTCTGATTTCGAGAGTGAATTCTAATCTCTCTGTGCAATTGTTGTATATCAATTTAAGCTAAGGAGGCTGATTAACGAGAGGGAGCGAGATATTACCTAAAACATTTTTGTATGAGACGTTAGAGACATTTAATGTACAGGGTGTTTCATCTAATTTTATTATGTCCGAAATATCTTTGTTGTATTTTTAAAATACAAAAATATATTTCAAAAGGGAGAAAGAGTTATTCAAGTTAGAGAAAGATACTCTAAAATGTAACATTTGCAACTTTTTTTAAATAATTTATTTTTGAAACATTCTTGAAATACTTCAAAATACATTTCAGAGATCAAAAGATCCTGTATATTGGTTGTATAGTCCTAACAGTGAACTATTTTATTGTACATCAGAAGGAAAGACGCTGAAAGAATCAAGGTTTATGCGACACTTTAATGATTAATGGTTAATTCAACTATTGTATGAGAGTTTTTTGTGATCCGTTGCGTAGCAAATATTAATATCTTACTTTTGCTTTAATGTTTGTTCCAAGATATTTGACATACAGCGCAATATTGTATTTGTAAACTCTAAATGCATGGAAGAAGCAGAACAAACTAATGTAATAGTGTGATTATAAAATCGAAATCGATTTTACTTTTAATAAATTGAAGGCGAAAAGTTAAAAAAGATTGCCTTTAATTTATTGAAATCTAACAAAATCGTAAACTGTTGTGACATGATTTTGGAAATAATTAAGAAAAACGTTTCGTAAGGCTAATTGAAACATAATGTCAATCTAAACTTGTAATTTATAAGCTTTGTACGATAAAAAAAAGGTTTATACTGCATAAACCACAATACTGCACATTTGATCACTATAAGATTGATGATTTTAATAACGAGTGATCTTACACACCAATGACAGAGCACAATAGTTTATCCATAGTAGAGTTAAAAAAAAATTGCGAGAATTCGCACTGATCCCTTCAACTGCAAATAAAATGCGTGCGTTATTAATTCACATTTGCTAATAATGACAACATCAATGTGAAAAGTATCGTAACAACTCTATATATTTTGTTTCCAGAAATATTATTTTATCATTATATGAAAAATTGCAGAATCCAAATATACTTTATTTAAAAATTTTCTAATATATATTTCATAATAATAGAACATTGTGAAGATATTTATATATAAAAATATTAAATTATCAGACAACTTAAAATTCAGAAAGAATATATAGTTTGCGATACTTTCTATTGCTTTGGAAAGGAAAAAATACACAGAATATCACTGTACGAAATATCGTTGAGTTTGTGAGTGCAAAAAAAATCCGATGCATGTAACAAGAAATTAAGAAACACAACGGTTCTCCTTCTCTTAAGTGACTCGTGAGATTGATCGAGTGCTTTAAAGAAAATTTTACAAAGTACACTTATTTTATATTTAGAAATATGTGAAGTTATTCTTTATTGAGAGAAAGTATTTAAAAAAATCGAAAGATATGCGATTTTACATTCAATTAATTTTGTGAGCAACTATAATAGCGATATTAGGTGTGTGTGTGTGTGTGTGTGTGTGTGTGTGTGTGTGTGTGTGCGTGCGTGCGTGCGTGCGTGTGTGTGTGTGTGTGTGTGTGTGTTGTGTGTGTGTGTGCGTGCGTGCGTGCGTGCGTGTAATATTTTTTGTATGTGATTAAAATCGTATTATCTGATGTGTAAACACGGCGTAACAACAATTATATTACATTGTTATTCAGTTCGATGCAATTGTCATTTGATTCTCGGAGGACTTTTCTTCTTGAATTTAATTTTTGGAGAAGCCTCAAGCCTATCTTTTCGACTTCTATTTTTAAATCTGCGAGTAATTTTTTTATCAGTCGTTTTATATCCGAGGGTTAAATGCAAAACCGAAATTTTAGCAATTTTACTGAAAGATATTATCTTATTTCTGCGACAAGAAATGCACATATTTATAATTTGCGTAACCTTATATTCTAATTTACAACTTTAACGCATTCATACATACACACACATAAAATATATATATATATATATATATATATATATATATGTATAAAATTCGTATACGCACGATAATATTTTTCAATACTTTTAAGGAAAATTGCAGAAAAATTAAGAGCTAAAAAACAATAAAAAAAAAGATTTAACTGATGTACAATATTTCTACGATTGATAGATCGATCTTAGATATTTTTGGAAGAAGTTCACGATATTTGAAAGAGAGAGAACACGTGTGGAATCTTAAATATTGTGGAAAAAGTTGTGTGCGCGCAATTTTCGAACGGCACTCTGTATTCTTTTTTCTTTTCTTTCGGAATTCGTACTAAAAAAAAGAATTTAACGAGGCCGGAGAACTGTGGTCGCGAATTATCTCATGTGGTTCGCGGTCGAAGGATAAAAACAAAAAAAAGAAGAATAAGGAACGGAACGTTTCACTTTAAGCAAGCCGTATTACTTTGTCTCACACAGGGTGTGTTCCATTATGCACTGCAAGTACTGACAGTACTACCAATAGCGTTCCGATATAGATAGCAGTGCACTGCGAAAGTACTATCATGAGTATATGACGTCATTAATTTTGACGTTATTCCTGTTGCGATTACTGCAACCGGCGAGGTAAAGCACTCGCAGTAATCAAAATGGCTACCTCCATGTGTACGATGGAACTAACTTTTAAATTCCATATCTGAATATAATGATACAATATTTTAACGTAATTTTTACATTTTATTCTAGGTATTTTAATTTGTCGTCTCATTTCATTTATTAATTCCATTTCCAAATCGCTTTCACTTGATGACTCACTCGAATCATATATATTCTCGATTAAATTATATGTAATTAATGCAATAACGGTATTATCCATTTCACCAATTTTTCACTCGATGATTATTAGCGAAAAAGGTTAGTTACAAGTCTGCTGAAAGCGTACTGTAGTGCGTTCCGTTTTACTATTTTGCAGTAGCTTCAAAGTGCACAAAATAAAAAGGAACGCTGTCAACAGTACACTTGCATGACGTCATAGTGCCAGTACTTGCAGTGCATAACGGAACGCACCCACAGTCTCGTGGAAAATTTTTAGTCTCGCTGTGATCATGTAATTCCGCGCCTTTTGTAATATCGAATAACAATAAATCGAAGCCTCCTCTTCCCGGCTTCGATGCAAGGGCCTCTCTCTTTGTAAAGCGTTAAAAAAAATCGTCTTTGTTCGACTTGTGTATCACACTTCTTACCTTTTTTTTGCCCCGTTTTACATGTAATACGTACATATACATACATATTATATACACGCGAAACACAAAGGACGCCCAAGGCCGTCGTCCGCCTAGATAGCTCACCAAGTATTTGATGTACTTGAAAAAGCTATTTATATATTTGTACATGAGAAGGAGAAAGAGAGAGAGAGTCGCGCCATGTGTCCAACTCTCAAGATTATGCATACGCTATTTTTCTAAAGCGGCATCTGAACGTTTTTATCGCAAAGGGTTAATCTATCTATAATAAAAAGAAAGAATTCTAATAAAATGAATATTTTTATTTAGGGAGCTATCGTCGGCGGTGATGAGGGAGAATTACGCTAATTAAAAAAAATGACGGCCAGCATATCATACACCTAAGGACCAGAATTCTCTCTCTCTCTCTCTCTCTCTCTCTCTCCCTCCCTCCCCCCCTCTCTCTCCCTCTCTCCCCTCTCTCTCTCTCGTTCGAATTTTATTTTACGAATTCGACGAATCGCTCACCCTCAAGGAAGGATTGAGATATACAAAGATGCAGTTTATAATGCAGCAACAATTGGAGATATACGTGCGCATTTGTTATGCAATTGGATCACACACAACACACACACATGGAGCATTCCACGTCGAGCGATCCACTTTTATTATTGTAAAAAGAAAGAATCGATCTTTTTTCAATTTAATAGCTAGATTTTATCTTTAGCATATTCCTACACTAAAATCTAGGAATTACAGAATTTATTCTA